TTTTGGAGTTGAAAGTGAACTTTGTCCCTATAGTTGCTGAATAATATTCTTGTGTTGTTCTTGTTTGCTTGAGTTAATACTTTCTGGCTCTCTGAAAGAATCGGTCTCAGTTTAGACTGCTCTATTGGGACAGTAGTCTTGTCATGGACTTCATAATCATGATGCCTGTCATTTCCTTATATTAGTTCTCGACATAATTCAACATTTTATAGTGTTTTCCGGTTTTATATTTCCTTGTCTTTGTTGCAAAATCGATGACAAATATAGTTGCAATGGCTGTTATCTTTTCTTATATTTGTGCACAATTCCCTGCAAGTGGTGCTCTGTGTTATAGATGAAGAACTACTTGGAAGCATAATTCAATTCTTCTTTGGTGATCTCTTTATGTGTGGGATCAACAGGTTTCAGACGGTGATCACATTGATCGATTTATATCCTGCCTACAAATGGCGCTTCCCTTTTTCATGGTATACACTACTAATAATATGATGATTTTAATATTCCGACCTCATGTTGACTACAAGCATCTATGTCATGACAGAGGGGTGCATCATGCAGTAAGTTCTTCAATTATCTGACGAAGCAAATTATTCCTGTTTTTGACAAGGTAATGTTCTAGGCGTTTTGCTGGCTAGTTTCTTTATGATTAGTTGGATTTGAAGTTTTTATCTGGCAACACCTGATCAATGTTTTCTGTCATTTTATTATTGCCTTACAATGCATTGTTCACCCTTGTATCTTTCTCTACCCCGGACAAGCATCTGCTGGTGCTGCCGTTTTAGCTTTTGTATTTATTCTCTATTATAATTAATCAAACCTTCCCTCAAGTTCTATTCTTCTACCCCTTTCCAACCCACTTCATTTTATTAATCTAATTGTTTATTTTGTTCCATCACTTACTATTAGGATGGAATCACCCAGGTCTATTGCACCTTGCCTTTGGTGGAAGATTGGTTTGGTGTAATAATAAATGAGAAATGTCTATGTTAGTGAAGAATGTATTACTCATTTAACCCCTTGCCTGGCCAAAAGTTCATTTAAACTTTTGTGAAGATTGATTCAATTTTATTTAACATAACTGAAAAAGATGGATGTCATTTGAAATTAGTGAAAGAGATTCACTTCTGTTGGATAACTGGGAAGTTATGACCTAGAGGCATTTCATCATACCACTTGTATATGATTCCCTGTACTCCTTTACTTTGAATGTATGGTGGTTTCTCTGATCAGTTCTCTCTTCCATTAGCTACCTGAAGAACGGAAACTGGACTTGCTCAAGAACCTTGCTGAATCTTCTCCATATACTAAACCACAAGATTCAAGACAACTTCTTCCATCCATTGTTCAACTTTTAAAGGTACCTCTTCTTTCACAGTAAATAAAAGGGCACAATTATTAGATTAGATAGTAATGCATACTCGCCTTCTTAGTTCCTTGAACATTTTGGCCTTGTGGTCCATTATGCATTCAATAACATGATTCTGCTGCTTATACTAATTCCGATCCTATTATGATAACTAGCAACAGTACAAAAACTAATGCTTATTTGTGTACCTGATATCATCCATATTGTTCCAATCTTCCATTTACGTTAGATACCAGAGTTGATCCTTCCTAATTATAGGCAGTGTTATTACTGGCGGATGGCGGTTTGCCAAAAGTCCGCCATGGCACCGTCATGGCCGCCATTTGATAACACTGATTGTAGGACATTTAACTGACACTGATTGTAGGACATTTAACTGATGTTGGTTTTTCGGTTTTATTCTTAAATACTTGCCAAAGTAGGAGTAGTCGATTAGGAGATGGCTGCTCACCCTCGCACTGGCGCGATAGCGCTTACAAATTCATCCATGCTTAACCTTGTCTCAGTAACCTTATGCGTTGTCTTTTTCTCGCAGAAATACATGGTCCGGAGAAAAATTGAAGAGATAAACTTCACATGTATTGAGTGCTTGCTGTATGCATTTCATCATTTAGCTCACAAGGTAATAATTATGTCGTAATTGGCCTTGTTATAAAATTTATATCTTGCAGCATGGAACTGCCACTTACTGTTACATTTGTAGACTCCCAATGCCACTAATAGCCTTTGTGGCTACAAGATCGTCACTGGGCAACCTTCAGACAGGCTTGGTGAAGATTTTTCAGAACAATATAAGGATTTTACCGAGCGGTACTTCTCGAACTGAATTTAAGCTTGGAATTTATGAACTAGTATTATGAACCTTTTTCACTTCCTACGCAAGGCTTGCTTGTTATAGACACGATAGTTCTCCTTAATTTTATTTTACTTGAACCTTCTGGGTTTGTCGTGTAACTTCAGAGGTTGATGTTAGTTTTTCTGATGGCATAGATTGAGCACCATCGAGGAATTAGCAAAAGCAATGAATAAGAAATTGACCCAAGGGATGGCCGAGCACAATAAAGCAGTGGCAGCTGCAAAGACAGAAGAGGAAAAAGAAACAGTTGTGGGTTTCGCTTGCTAAACATTCAGTTATACTGATAGACACATTTCACTCATTTATTTGTCCTGGTTTATGGACCTTACTGTTTGTTGATTCAATTGGCTTAATTTTATTTCTTTGTTCTGTCATTTTTCCGGGAATGCCCTGCAGAAGGAGCAGAAGCAAAATGCTACAGCAGGTCTTCGGACATGCAACAATCTACTTGCAATGACTCAGGTAAATGTTTCTTTTTCCTGAAAAGTAGAACTTTCTGGAAGATATTTTTGTGAGAAATTTATTGATGGTGGATCAAGTATCTGAAAAATTTATGGTTTGATTTGACAAGAACTTCTTGCGAGACTTATTCAACATAGTTCATCTTTTTCACCTCCCTACAATGGCAGGGCTCTTTATTCCAATATTTATTCTTTATGTTTTATCTGATATTGGTTGTTAATACAAACAACGGTCTTCGTGCAGCCTTTGCATTCAAAATCGCCTTCATTTATTGGGGACCAGAAAAAGATCAACTTATCTTGGCGAGAAGTACCTAAAGCAGCACCAACTTCTGGTGCTGTTACTGCCACAGGGTAATAATAATAATTATAAAAAAAAAAAATCCATTTTTACCAGTACTTTTCATATCAATCATTACTTTTGTGGTTACGAACTCGATAATAATAAAATTGCAGTAAAAGACGAAGCACGAATTCAGCAAATGGGTCGGGGACAAATGCAGCTAAGAAGGGTCGGGGAGCAGGTGGTGTACAAAACCAACTTGTTAACAGAGCTTTTGAAGGGTTAAACGACATAAGAAGTGGTGGAAGAGGGAGAGGCTGGAGGAACCGTGGTAGGGGAAGGGGAAGGGGCTATCGTTAAGAGATCGAAAAAAAAAAAGCGTCGTTTTTATTGTATAATGTAGACAATTCTTTTTTCAGCTGATTTAAAAGAGGTGTTAAAGTGACCAATTTAATTTTCTCTTTGCTAATTGTTAGACACTACGTGTTTGTTGGTTCCATTTGCTCCAGTTTTAAACTCCTATTAGTCCCTATTCCCCGGCTTATGTTTTAATGGTTGAGAAATATAATATATGCATGTTGTGAGCACTTGATTTTCAGCCCTTTTGAGTATCTATATTTCAAAGACCTGAACAGGCTATAGCTTCAGATTGAGACAAACTGTTTCTCGTCTTCAAAATGTACCTAATATCTATTTTTTATTAATTTAAAAACATTTATGTCGTGATTGAAAAATTACAAAATATTATAAACTTTAAAAAATAGTATATATATAAATTAATTTCATAAAATTAGTATACATGAAAAAATAATGCTTGATATTTTATTCAAACTTTACACAGCACATACAATACTATGCAATTACAACTTCCTAAAATTTCATCCCACAACTTGACAAAGGAAAAATTCACCTCCTAAACCCTAGCCTCGTCCCGCGCTCGCCTCCTCGTCTCTCCGCCTTTCAGCCTCGTATCGTCGCTCGGACTCCGGCGTCGGCCTTTAAGGTCCAACCTCCGCCTCTAACCTCCGCGTCCAGCCTCCTCCGCCGGCCTTCGGTCTTAGCCTCGAAGGTATGTCGCTCCCAACTCCGGTCATGAAAAATTGCTGAAAAAATTGGACTAAAAATATAATATAACCTTTAATTCTATGAAAAATTGGACTTTAGTTTGTTGATGTTATTATTCGTTTCAGTGTATCTGATTTTCTCTGCTCTTATTGAACCTACCCACAAAAAGAAAGAAGAGAAATTTTGCCCCGTTTAAGTGCTGTAGAGGTGTTTTTTTTTTTTACATTTTTTCTTCTACTGGGCCGCAGCCCACTGCCTAGTTCCTAAAGAAAAACACGGGCCGACCCGCCGAGCCCGTGGCGGGGGCGGGTTGGGCCGGCGCCCCGCCAAAAGGCGGGCTTTGGCGGGCTATATGCCGACCCGTCCCGCCGAACCGTTTTGACAACTCTAATTGTAACAGCTTAGTTAGACTAAAACTAATTAAAGAATAAAATAGTAAGTATTAAAATTAGTGAGGTGAAAATACAGGTACAAATGGCAAAAACTATCACTTTTGTTATAACAAATGAAATTTTACCACTAGTAAATTTATTACCTTATCTTATCATTATGCATAGAAGTGTGTGCATTGAAATAATTAATGATGAAATTTTGCCTATAAAAGGCAAGAGAAGAGTTCATTTGTATGTACAAAAAAATAGTGACCAAAAGAGAAAGAGAAATAGCAACTTTTGATTTATATCCGATTTTTACATTATGTTTTTTATATTCCTCGCATTTTATAACACGTTATCAGCACGAGCGCTCTACCCGGTCAAGAAAGGTAGGAATATATATATGTATATGTATTATATTTCACTAATATACATATTACTATTATTCTTGACAAGTTAGACCCTGCCACAATCAAGAATATATATACATATTACTATTATTTTTGACAAGTTAGGCTCTGCCACAGTCAAAAATATATATATATATATTACCATTATTCTTGACAAGTTAGGCTCTGCCACAGTCAAGATATGTATACTAAATATGATATTATCTATACATTACCATTATTATTGGCAAATTAGGCTATGCCATAGTCAATAATATGTGGTGATATGATATTATTAAATTTGCTTATGAATTATTATTCAAGTTATAATAAATATTATTACTTATACAGTTATACTTAACACCCACAAAATGGTTACCCAGTAATGTGGCGTGAAATTTATAACTGCTTATTTTTGTACCCACCGAAAGATTTATCAAATAATGTGGAGCATTTTTTTTACTTGTTTTGTTATATTCACGAAAATGTTCATCAAATAATTCAGAAATTTTTTTAAGGTAATATACATGATTAACTAGAATTTTATGACCATAAATGATTAATTAGCAAATATTATATCATCAGTTTATAACTAAAACTTATTTTTTATGTTATTTTAATTTAAGTTAATAATATTATTTATCTATTAAAAATTATACTAACAATTATTATATTTTACATTTTTAAATAAGTTTTTGAAAATAGTTAAAATGATTATTCCTTCGGTCTCTTAATTGTAAATGAATCATGTGATTTATAAAACCGACAATATATTTAGTTGAATTGTTACGTTCTTAAATGTTGTTTTTTTACCTTTTTTTTGTGCGTAATCACATATTTTTAACTTTATTTATTTTTTCCTACAAAATATTCTTTGATAAGCTCTCATTAACAAAAATATTATGCAAACTCCTACAAAATTTTAATTTAAATCAATTTTTCAACCAAAAAATATATTTTTCCATAGATTATAGTTGTTAGAACTTAAATTATAAATACATGAAATCTTTTTTTTTTTTTTTTTAAGATCTAGGGTGATACGGATTCTAAGTTTTTTAAAAACTTGACGGGTGTTGTACTAGTTTATAATAAATACATTTTTATATGAAATGTGCATTTCGACTTAAACTACGAGCTCGTAATTTAACATTAAAAGTCGGGCCCCCCTGAGTAAAATTTCTAGATCCGTCACTGGCCAGACCATTGATAATGAGGACAAAACTCCCTACTTCAGTATGGGGAGATGTTGTTCTGCATGCAGATAATCTAATTCGCATAAGACCAAGTGCACACCATACATACTCGCCATTACAGTTGGCATCTGGTCGAGAACAAAATATTGCCCATATAAGAATTTTTGGTTCTGCAGTATATGTACCAATTGCTCCGCCCCAACGTACAAAAATGGGGCCTCAAAGAAGGTTGAGAATATATGTTGGATACTAATCTCCATCAATAATAAAATACCTTGAGCCAAAAACAGGTGATGTTTTTACAGCTCGATTTGATGATTATCATTTTAATGAAGAATTATTTCCCCCTTTAGGTGGGAATGAAAAGTCAATTGAGAAAATTATTGAATTGAGAACATCATCACTATCATATCTTGATCCTTCCACCAAACAAAGAGAGCAAGAAGTTCAAAAGATCATACATCTGCAGCATATTGCAAATCAATTGCCAGATGCATTCACTGACATAAAAAGGGTGACAAAATCACATGTTGCAGCTATAAATGCCCCTGCTCGAATTGAGATTACAAAAGAAATGACAAATGACGATGTGCCAAATGAATTAAAGGCACGGTTGAAACGAGAAAGACCAGTGGGGTCTAAAGATAAGAATCCTCGAAAGAAAAGAGAAATTCAAGATTCGAATTTGAAAAAGAATCAAGATGATGGAAAAATTTCAGAACGAAATTAAAATATTGAAATCTCCATCAATTACGTAAATAATGGGAAACTTTGGAGGCGTGATGAAATTATTGATGATGCATTCGCATATATGGTATCACAAGAAATTGACAAAGAAGTTGAGGATCCTGAACCAAAATCTATGATTGAATGTCAGAAAAGACATGATTGGGACAAGTGGAAAGGTGCTATTCAAGCCGAGTTAAATTCGCTTAATAAACGAAAGGTTTTTGGACATGTAACCATTATACCCAAAGACATAAAACCTATTGGGTACAGATGGGTTTTTGTCAGAAAAAGAAACGAGAAAAATGAGATCACAAGATATAAAGCTCGCCTTGTAGCACAGGGATTCTCCCAGAGGCCTGGGATCGATTATGATGAAACATATTCCCCTGTTATGGATGCAATTACTTTCAGATACTTGATTAGTTTAGCCATCCATAAAAATCTTGAGATGCGTCTCATGGATGTTGTGACTACTTACTTATATGGATCGCTAGACGCGGACATTTATATGAAAATTCCAGAAGCAATTAGAATACCCGAAGCATTAAAGTCCAAACCTAAAGAGTTATGTGCTATAAAACTGCAAAGATCATTGTATGGCTTGAAACAATCCGGGCGTATGTGGTATAATTGTTTGAGTGAACAATTACTAAAACGGGGATACATAAATAATCAAATATGCCCGCGTGTTTTTATAAAAAGATCACAAGATGGAGTTGTGATAATTGATGTTTATGTCGATGATCTTAATATTATTGGGACTACAAATAAAATCCAAGAAGCAGTCACTTTACTAAAAGGCGAATTTGAAATGAAAGATCTCGGACAGACCAAATATTGTCTCGACTTGCAAATAGAACGTGTCCAAAATGGGATATTTGTCCATCAATCTAATTACACTAAAAGAATACTGAAACGATTCAATATGGACAAGGCTAATCCACTTAGTACCCCAATGGTCAATCGAACATTAGATGTTGAAAATGATCCATTTCGACCTTGTGATGAAGATGAAGAAATACTTGGTCCTGAAATACCATATATGAGTGCAATAGGGGCTCTTATGTATCTTGCAAATTGCACCAGACCAGATATATCTTTTGCTACTAACTTGTTGGAGAGATATAACTCGGCACCTACAAGGAGACATTGGAATGGAATCAAGCATATATTCCGTTATCTCCAAGGGACAATCGATTTGGGACTGTTTTAATCTAATGATAAAAAAATGAAATAATCGGTTTTACAGATGCATGATATCTATCAGACCCCCATAAAGCAAGATCTCAAACTGGTTATGTTTTCACGATTGGTGGAACTGCATTCTCTTGGCGCTCCCAGAAACAAACGTTAGTTGCGACGTCTTCAAACCATGCTGAGATCATTGCACTTCATCAAGCAACTAGAGAAAGCATCTGACTCACAAACATGACTCAACATATTCAACAAGCCAGTGGACTATCGAACAATAATGACCCGACGGTGATATTCGAAGACAATGCAGCATGTGTCGCTCAAACTAAAGAAGGATACATTAAGAGTGACAGAACTAAACATATCCCGCCAAAGTTCTTCTCATATGCGCAAGTGTTTGAAAGAAACAAACAAATCAAAGTTCAATACATTCGATCAAGTGATAATGCAGCAGATTTTTTTACGAAGGCGCTTCTGACGACAATGTTTCGAAAGCACATACACAATATTGGAATGAGGCATCTTCGGGATTTGCACTGATGATAACTCGAGGGGGAGTATGTGCGGTTGTACTCTTTTTTCCTTATCTCGGTTTTTTTTCCACAGGGTTTTTTCTAGATAAGTTTTTTAATGAAGCAGCATAAACGCACATTTATAGTGGTAATTCAAGAGGGAGTGTTATAACAAGTGGAATTTTACCACTAGTAAATTTATTACCTTATCTTATCATCATGCATAGAAGTGTGTGATTGAAATAATTAATGATGAAATTTTGTCTATAAAAGGCAAGAGAAGAGTTCATTTGTATGTACAAAAAAATAGTGACGAAAAGAGAAAGAGAAGTAGCAACTTTTGATTTATATCCGGTTTTTACATTGTGTTCTTTATATTCCTCGAATTTTATAACAATTGTTTTTTTTTTTTTTTTTTCCTGTAATTAGTTATTGGAGCCACACTCATCCATCGGCTCCGATGGGGCCGCAATGCAATGTCAACATTAATTTGGGGCAACAGTGAACTATTCCTCAGACGCAAGGAGTAAATATGAGAAGTCGAAAACTGTAGGGGCAATATATAAAATTCAACCTGAAGTCCGTTGCGGTTTGTTGCAAGGGTTCTACACCTCAAGTGGCGGCAATTTTGTCCTCGCCCCCCGCCGCAGTGAGCTTGCGTGAAATCACCATGACCCTCCCCGTCGCCGGAGAGTCGCCGCCAAAGACCGAAAACGAGAATCAAGGATCCGAAGTGCCGACGAAGATCAACCGGAAATCTCTGAGGAAGCGCCGTCGGTTGGAGGACCGCGAAGCTCGGCGGAGAGAGAAGAAAATTAGAGGGACATTGTTGGCTGCCAGTTTTCCGAGCTATTGCCTGAGGCAAGGCATCGGGGATTTGCAGTGCGTTGGCGAAAAACACCGTTCTCAGCACCGGAAGAGGCTGTGGCGGCTCCTTAACAAGCTCCTCCTGCGGCACAATTGGGCGGAGGCGGGCGGCGTGTTGAGTGTCTTGCTCCAGGCTACTGCTGCTGACAGATCCCCCTCCGTAAACCGAGCAAAATATTCGGTATAGAGTCATTCAGTTATATGTTTGGTGTTATATGAGTGTTATGTTGCCAGTTTTTTTTTTTTTTTTTTCTAACAAAAATTTCTGCAGGCTGCATTGGAGCTGCTTGTTAAAATAAAAGACAAAACTGTGAGCTCGAGGAGAATACAAAGTGTCTATGAGCTATGGATGAAAAAGCTTGGATCATTGCATTTTAACTGGTCAACAATTATCTCCCAAGTATGATCTTGTCGAGGGACTTGCTATTTGAATCTTTGTCTTTTTTTAGAGCATCTCCATGCCTTCACTCTATTTAGAGTTGAACTGTAGAGGATACTCCATAGTCATCTCCAGCTATGAATTTGATTTATATAAGTTTTCGTAATCATGATACAACAACGAACAACAAAATATTCTTTGAGTTAAGTTATCACGCAGCAATTGGGAATGAAGTTTAAAGCTACTTTAAAATGATAACGTCAAAATAATAAATAATAATTATTGGAAAATAGAAATAGAGAAAATGCCAAACAGAATAGAAATGAACAAAATATAAAAAAAGAAATGGGAAAGAGAAAAGAAATGTGATTAGCACAAGTAGCTATATCTTCTCAATTTTGAGTGAATTAGAGGAAAGGGGTCTAATTATTTCCACCCCATTTTCAGGGAATTAGCTATTTTGGTGTGTGCTTAAAGGAGTTTGCTTATTAAATCTTGAGCTTCTCCTATTGTGTTGTTTAATTTGAGTTATTGGATGCCGTGAAGTTTTGCTTAGTAATTTTTTGAGAGCAAAGCAAAGTTACACCTTAATAAGATCGGTAATGCTATGTTCTGTTTCTCTGGTGCATGTGCTCGGTTGGTCAGAATCTGCTTCAGAAGTTTTGACGTGTTTATGTAAATTCTTGATGGAAATTTTGATATTCCAAAAGATAATTTAATATGACTGTATTGAACTCCTTATGACAGGAGAAGTTTGCCGTGGGATGCGAATTCACTCTTAATTGCTTACAACATGGGAATATAGAGGATGCATATCAAACTGCTCTTTGGTAAGCTTATAAGTTTCATATGACATATGGGTTGAAAATCAATAGCATACCTCTCCAACTGGTATGGGAATTAGAAATAGTTATCCATAACTTATATAATATACTCAATTGATGTTTAACAACTCTCTGATCTTAAACGCTTCTCAACTTTTCTTTTTTTTAAACTTCCATTCACTCTTGCTCCACTTTACTGTTTTCTACTATTTCTGACATACACGATCAGTGCCATGCAGGAGAAATGTTTTGATGGTCACCCTCTTGCAAATTTGGTGGTTGGCTTGACATTTTATGAGTTGTGGTATTCTGATGTTCCTAAGGAGTTACAGATGACAAAGCTGGACATATCTGGCACGTATGTTTCCCCAGAAGTTCCTGGTGATGGCATTGGCATGCGAATGGATTTTAGCAGGGGTAATGATGCTCTAGAAGCAGAAGAATCCAATTCTGGCTCACAGTGTGATTTGAACACCTCAGTGGCCTTTAATAAAGTAGTTGAAAACAGTGAGAGCCAGCAGATAAGACCGATGGACGTTGATGATAATGTGAAGAAGGAAACTTCTTATGCCAGTTCTCAATCATGTAAGTCGGGCATGGAGTCAGCCAAAGCAGGAGGAGATAGTGAGCATTCCTTATCTAACTATAGCGGTGACCTTCCCAGTGTCTCTATCTTCTACACCAGAGGTTTGTGTCATAGCACTTTCTTCTCTTCATTTATTCATGAAATACTTGAATCTGCATTGTTCTCTTGGCTACAGTGTCATCTTTAACGATTATCGATAAATAGAGACTTTTTGGTGGTTCATGTTGATCTTTTAACTATGTGGTCGGAGAAGTTACACATTGACTCTTCAGCAAAAGCAGAAAGAATTAGCAATGATGAACTTATTTGATTATTATTAAACAAATGAGCTAAAACACTTTAATTTAAGCTGGATTCCTGCTAAAATAGTCCACAATCTCCTCGTCAAATTCTTTTGGATTTTGGAGACTCAAAATTTTCTTGCCCCCTTGCTCCTTTCAGTTTATGACGTTTATGCTATTCTAAAAATAGAGAATATCAGTCCTTAAATATGCTTTCTATGCAATCTGTAAAGTTATCTTAACTAGTTATTTAGCATTGAACTATATTGCTACATGCTTCTTCAATTTGTATACTTGTTGCCTCATAAGTATCTGTCCTTAACATGGTGATGTATATTGTGCCCACTTAACATTCACCATATTTATAGCTATATACATTAAAAGTAGTTAAATGTGTGTGAAACTTAGCATGGTATTTGTGCCTTTCCGACTTGCAGATTATGCAGCTGCGACCTCTGCATTAAGTATAAATTATTTTATGATTAGGATGGTATAATTTAAAATGACTATTTACTTTGTCGAGTTAGTAAACTTTATGTATTATGATACATTCCGCTATGAGACGGGTCCATAAAGTTTTGTGTATGCCGGCTCTTGCTATTGTATAAATGTATAGATCTTCCGTCCTGGCTGTTGCCTATCAAACTGCAGAGTTCTCATGAAAACTTGGAGGATGCCTTTTACACTCACAGAAAATTGCATAACAACCACTACAAGAGTGCATTGAAGCATTTACACATTGCTCTTAACTCAACACCACCAGTTGTTGAGGCGCTCCATCCACTGATACAGGTACTAACTGAACTTGTGTTATGATTATCTGTATCATTTTATTATGACAGTGACTAGTGAGCATAAGTTTTTTTTGTAGTTGGCGCACTATTTTTCACAATAAATGATTCAGAGTTACGGCAATAATTCTCTGTGGTCGCATTTAGATTTGAGGGGAGAATTTAGGGTAAGAATTTCGAATGACTCCACTGCAACTCATAATAGGAGCTATAGATTCTAAGTTCAGTATAGAAGATCTTATTCATGTGACCTCAATGTCGACGTGATCCTCCGCTTTTAAAGTTTATTATGTGATCCCTTTTGTATCGTGAAGCTCAAAGCCTCAAACTGCTTAAATGTGGAAAGAAAATCGTGTGGATAAGTTTTTGGTCATTATATGATTGTTAATGCAGAAGCAAGTGGGGAGGGTGGCCTAAAATTTAAATATGTGGTGTTGAGTGATGGTGTTGATAAAAAGTATAAAACCGAGAGAATGAGAGTTATGATTGTGCTTGCCAACGCTTCTCCAGTGGACATGATTGAAAATATTTTAAAATGGTATATATTATGTGTTAATATAATGGGAAAACATTTCTTGTAAGCATTGTCATGTGTGGTATATATTTTGGCTTTAGTCATGTTGTCAAAGAGTTGAACAACAAAAAAGTATATTTTTGGTTTTTTCATGTTGTCAAGAGTCGAACAACGAAAAATAGATGGCGAGTGCCTGATCGAATTGATCAGGTCATGTGGAGTAGAATGCGTTTGTGCACTATCATTCTCTTATATCACATAGGTATACTTTTGGTGATGTCTCATTCACTATGTTGAGCTTTTAAGGGAACTGATTAGGATGAAAGAGTGATAAAAATACAAAAGGGACAATTGACAGTAGTGTGCACCCGCAATCCCATACATAACATATGTTTTGCCAAACTTCAAACTTTAATCATTTTGTATGAAGCCATGTCATCTGAAAACCATCGTAAGTTTAATGTTGACAGATGCTACTCCTTGGAGATCAGGTCCAGGAGGCCATTGATGAACTTGAAACTTTATCTCGTAGCTTGGACTCGTTAATCCTACTCAGGTATCTCTAGTTCTATCAATCTTAATTGTGACCCATTTTGCCAGAAACATAGGTAATGTTTCCCATTATATATGGTACAAGACTTAACGGTGCTAACTGCTAACATTTAGTACTAGTCCAAAATATTATTCCCGAATTGGTGCAGTGGCATAATGGGGCCCATATATGTTTGATGCGGTAATCATCAACTCCTCTATGGATAATAGTATATGACTTTCTACCTTCGCCTCTTAAGTTATTTGCGCTCTTTTCTACAAAAGTACATCTGGAGACTTTTCTAAGTTTACATTAAATAGTTACGGTGTAATCTAGCTGTAGTCACGTTTTGTTATTGTGAAACTTACATAACGTCCTGTATATGTCTACGCTGCATGTTCATGTAAGGAATATAATTCTTCTAATGCAGACTGAAAGCAAGTATCTTGGAGCATTTTGATAGTGCCAATTTTGTTAAAATTTATACTTGCTATGAAGACATCTTGAAGAAGGACCCAGCATGCAGTGACTCCTTGGCAAAACTTATATTAATGCATCGCGGAGGTAACTATCAGTCCCTACTGATCTCTTTCTGAGAGCTTATTATTGTTAATGCTTGCTTAATTTATCTAAAAGATCCTTCTTATTAAGTTAATATTGGTTATTTGGGTACTTTCAATTGTTAGATACGTGTGCCCAGTATCTGACCCGTCTAAAACTGCTTACCTGAATATATCAGCTCTGTGCATCTTGTTTCCCACCTTGTCTACGTGTTTCAATTCTTCTTCAAATTTCAATCCACGGTCTTTTATTTAGTTTTTACGTTTCTCAGTGTTATGCTTATCAAACATAGTCTTTCTGTTACTGAAAACCGTCCACTTGAATGGTTACTACCATTAGTTGACTTTAGATGTAAACTAAAAGGCAGATTTTCTTCTTGAATTAACATTATTAATCCATCCTTCCCGTCCATGGTAAAATAAATAAGAATTTCGTAAAGCTTTAGTTCTGCCGCTGCTAACAAATGTAAACCAGGATTATTTTTCTTTCTGTAATATTATCTTTTCTTTTTCTTTTTTTTTTTCTTTGGCTAAAATCCAGGAGATTATGACACTCAGAGTTTGGTGGAGATGATAGCCTTGCACTTGGAGGCCACATACGGATCATGCGATACGTGGCGCGAATTAGCATCTTGCTTTCTGAGACTCTCTCAATGTCAAGAAGACAGGATTTCCAGCTGTGGTGTTAGCAGTGATGGGCACGATCAAGGACGTCTAGGACATTCTAACAGCAATCCAGAGTTATTCACTCGCGGGGAATCTGGAAAAACCTGGAGATTTCGTGCCAAGTGGTGGTTAAGCCGCCACTTTAACGATAGAATCCTGATATCAGATATTTCATCAGGTAATCAAATTCCCAGTTATGTCTAAATTTACATAGTTTTTTCGTAAGTTCTTGCTTGATAACATGAGACTAAAATTTACGGAAACAATTTTCACTGAATCCTCTGTTCTCATTATTATTATTTGAAACAATGTTGTTTAAGCGCGGCTACTACTTTTTGCCAAGTAACCTATACTATAATATATTTCTGTACTTTTTCTTGACACATTCATTACCCAACATTGTTTGATATTAACATAGAAACATAGCATATATATATATGCGTGTATTCGCCTTCGAGATGTGCTTGCCCTATTCTTATGATTCGTTCTCGATGGAGTTTTGTGATCACAGGTGATTTGAAGCTTTTGACATTCAAAGCAGCCGTGGCTTCACATATTTATGGACGACGTTTTAGATATGTTGTGAAGGTGAGTGAGTGTATAGAGAAGGAAAATGAGAAGGAACTGTATTCTTTACTACAGATGAACATGCTTAGTTCTGTTGGGTTTTATTCTGCAGCAAGGAATATTTGATAATGTGTTTTGCAGTTGCTTCAAAAATCCTTCCTACCACAGCACCAGTGAACTACCACTTCCCTGGTCACTTGCTCAAATACAAATCGTCCGGTAAAATTTATATCTATAAAAAATTATCCACCGATGTTTTCAAACTCGGCTTGGGTAAAAATCCAGACTAGCCTCCGGATCATTGACCTGTAAAATGCAACATATATTCGAAAATATATTGGCTGTAAAAGCAATTGAAATTATTTTGATGACGGTCTTGCACAAGATTATGATAGTTGCATGTAATTGGTAGTTGTCTGTTAATGAATTTTTTTCTGTCTACATTCAATTTTCATAGCACAATTAATGGCGATTGACCACCCCGCACCTTCTTCTCTCATGTCATCCTCTCAGGTAAAAATTATGTAAATAAAAATGTAGCATATATTGAAAGTATCCTGACTGTAAATGCAACATAGATTAAAATTATTGTGATGTCTGTCTTGCACAAGATTATAATGCTAGTTGTTAAATTTTGACCTATTTTTATTAAAATTACCGACATGGTTGGTTTGTCATTATATATTACGAAGATGTAAATTGTATATATATATATATATATATATATATATATATATATATATATATATATACTTATATGTTACGGAGACGTAAGTTGTATATATCTACTTATATGTTATATACATAGTTACATTTTATAAACCAAGCATAAATTGAATTTTGGTTGAGCCAAAAAAAAAAAAAGAAAAAAAGAAAAAAAGAAATTGTAATATAGTATGTATAATTTTTTACATCCTAGGAGCGCTTATAATACGTTTTTACATATCAATGTTATACAAATTGTTGGTAAAAAATTAAGTTAAAAAATATCAACAAAAAGTATAAACAAAATCCAAACATCACAATTGTGGTTAGATAACGTAATAAAAGGCAATATATACTGATAATATACTGAGTATACACGCAACATATACGAAAATATTCCTTGACCAATGTAATTTGTCGATCATTTCTCGTGATGGCAACAACGACTGACCAGAACATCGATGTTGTCTGTGTGGAGCCGATAAGTAGCGACAACAGACGGGCCATAAGGTCGTATCCCGTATGTTCGCAGCTGGAGTCTCCATCCTAGCGTACAACGAAGGTTGGAAGTTCGGGCTAGGATCAACGGCGAACAACCTGACTATAGTTCTAATTACCTTGTGCTCGACCCAAAGCTCCTTGATTGATGACGTGATCGGCGACGAGGGCTGGTGTCACGGACGAGATTTAAGATCTCGAGAGGTGGTGAGAGCTGGTGTCATGAAGGTCAAAGATGAGATTTGCAATTTTAATTTTTTTTTTGGAAAAAAGATGAACAATTAAAATTTGGCTTAACAAGGAAAAAACGTGAAAAATGGGTGTGATAGACCGTATTTAATATAGTTATTACTCCCTCCTTTTTTAAATAAATGTCGTTTTGACTTTTTTGATTCATTCATTTTGCTATGTATCTAGACATAAATGTCGTTTTGACTTTTTTGATTCATTCATTTTGCTATGTATCTAGACATTTATTTTAAATGTTTATATTTAGGTAAATGTACAAATAAATATTTTATTTAATATTTTTACAATTATTTAAATCAATTAAGCATATATGTAAATTGACTAAATTCAAGAATTTGTAACATCTAGTTTAGTCTTAAAAAGAATATTATAAGCCCGAAAGGCAAGCTCTTGTAATATTATCAGCCAAGGGCCTCAGCCATCGTCCACCGTTGCACCGGTCAATTGCTCCGACTGGAATTTGTGTGTTTTTCATTTTTTGAAAAATTGTTTGAAGCTTCAGAGACATAACTGCGGAGGATTCCGATGGGCAGACCGCCGACCAATGGCGGCCCCTCTTTCCGCTTCAACCCTGTCGAGGTTACTCATTAAACCCTTCGTCTCCCGCTCTCTCTGGGTTAAATTGACCTTGCTAGCTTGAATGTATTGATTTTGCCATTAATTCTGCTTTGCTGAGCTCGAATTTTGCATAGATTGGTTTCTTCTTCTCTCTTCTTCACTTTCAATTTTTTTCTGTAAAATTTTCAGGTTTGCAGACTATGAAGAAAGAATGTTTCCTTATGCTTTTTTTTTTTTTTTTTTTTTTTTTTTTTTTGTTCCTAGTGCGAATTACACAGGCTTAGATTTCTAAATGCTGTTGTTTGAAAGAATTGTTGCTGGTGTTCTCCCTAGAGCAATGAATTTGCTGGGATATGTACGGAGTGTTTCTGAGCTCTGCTATTGGGTTATTATTATATTTATTACTATTTTAAATTAGTGATGTATAGTTTGATATTGTTACCGGGAGGACCTTTTATCGATTTTCTTTGTAATTACATTGAACAAATTCTGTGAAATGTTGGAAAAGTGTCTTCGTGCATCTACATTAGCCTTTTCTTTGTGCAAACAAATGTTCTCTCGTTGATAATCTTATATTTATGGAACTGCATTTGACTTTTAGTTCCAGCCGATGGGGTTCTATAGGGTGCAACGAAGAAGAAACTATGTGATCGACAATGTTGTGGAGGAATTAAAATTTTAAGGGCCTTTGCAATTGATCTTTATTTTTTATCCTGTTTCTTTTATAAATGTGCCCAAAAGTTTGTAGAGTTAAATTCACATTCATTTATAAGCGGTACACTGTTTTAGCATCTACAAATTTGAGTTTCCTTGGAAGAACAATTCTTACTCACGTTCTGATTTTTGTGTTAACTTTAAGGTTGGAGAAATGGAGGCCATACTACAAGCGCATAATTATCAAGTACCATCACGTGAAATACTCGAGGCTCTTGCCCATAGGTTTAGGTAAGCAGATTTCATAATGCTGCAAATCCGACCGGCTGAGTCTTTGTGTATCAGCCTTCATTAGTTACTAAAAGTTGGCTTTTGATATTTGATAGTACCTCTACTGATAGAGCCGGAAAAGTGGAAGTTTCATCGAAGCAAGTAATGAACATTCCCTAGTGTGTATATGCTTCTACTATCAATGTTAATAATGACCAAATTTTTAATTATTTTCAACAGGTCTGGAACTGGTTTCAAAATAGACGATATGCTCTTAGAGCTAAGGCAGCTAAGGCTTCTGTTCCTGAGCCGGGGACTGTGGTACCTGTGCATGACCAAACTACTGTAAGAACTTTACATCAGGCCCCGACTCAACCTCAGACTCCCATTCAATTTCGGCCTCCTATTTCTCAGGCTCCTCAACCACAGCTTGTCCCATCAAGTAATATGAAAAAATGCATCTTATGTTAAACATGATTTTATTTTCTTTGTTTTAGTTGCAATGAGCTATGCTAAGTCATTGTTTCTTCTTGATCTTCCTTTATATCGTGTTACCTGATGTGTATGATGTTCATTTTTTAAGCGACTGTGAGAAATATGCATCAAATCCCACAGACAGTTCCAGCTCCATCAAGTAAGCTGCCATGATTCTTGCGATACTCTTGTAATCGTGCTTTTTTCCCATAACCCTTTTTCTATGAAAATACCGTCATCAGTAATTCAGAGAGTACTTCCCCCTATCTACTTTCTTCCTCCATCTTTCATATCTCGTACATTAGCATATCTCGTACTTCCCCCTTGGTCACTATTTCAGTTATGAATTTGGAGTAAAATGATGTCAGTACAGGATTATTCTATTCCTTTTTCTGCCATAGATCACCGTTAATTCTGAACTCTTGTATATTTTCTTATCCTGCTTTACTTTTTGTTCTGAAATCAATAAGGTTTTCCTTTTAATCTTTGTTTTTAATTTTTTGAAAAACATATAAATATGCCACATGGAACATAACTATTGGATATTGAAGTAGTAGTTCTCAAGTTGAGTAGAGCACTTGCCAGATATAATGTATATCTAAAGTATATCTTTGGATATACTAAGATGTTCTGGTTGCCTTAACTGCTGATGCAGATCCTGCAAATCTTATATGATATAAACAATTGATTTCATTTCATTTATCTATCGAGTAACATATGTTTTGCAGCCTAGTCTGTTATACTGAATCACTGACTGATCCCAGTGATTTAATTTTATAAACTTATGCTGCTTGATCATCATCTTGTACTAATTTTTTAAGTTTTGTTAGATGCTGGGAAGGTGTTTACTTCATCTTACCTGAAACATTTTTTATTTTTCGCATATCTTCTCTTTATTTATATTCTTTGGGGCACCATTCTTTAATAATAGATGTCACGACCGTTAAGTTTTCATCATTTTCTCATGGACGATACATGTATATTTGAGATAATTATGAAACTGTCATTGAGTTCTGGATTACTTACTTTGTGGTTTGTATTTCTTCAAAAAACGTTCCTTGTGCACTTTGTCGTACATAAATAAAAATTCATGGGGTATTTGCATTATTGGAAGATAACTGCAGATCTTTGTAGTTAGCCTCAATGATATTTTCTGCAATTAACCTTTCAATTATTTCTTATCAGCAGCACAAAATGCAGGAAGGATTGCATCAGAGAATGCACAAATGGAATTTGAAGCTAAATCTGCCAGAGATGGTGCATGGTAACTCTTTTATGGCACATTATAAGTATCGTTTCAAGTTTTTATTTACTGTAAGGGAGGCATTCTAATTTGTTGAAGAAGGGAAATAGTGATGAATAGATGTTCCCTATTTCAGGTACGATGTTGCATCTTTTCTATCACATAGATCAGTTGAGACTGGGCATCCGGTAATTTCTTGTTTCATTCAACCCTTATTAAATTCACAAAAGGAAGATTTTCTGCTGATTCGATTGTCTTCTTATTTACTGTAATTATTATTGGACGGCAGCTGTTCTTTATGTGTTTTTTTCTTCTTTAGAATTCACTCAATTGTGGTTTAATTATATTGGTGACCACAGGATGCTCTTGTTCGTTTTGCTGGGTTTGGACCTGAAGAGGACGAGTGGGTCAATATTCGCAAGCATGTCAGGCAACGTTCACTACCATGTGAATCATCCGAGTGTGTAGCAGTTTTGCCCGGAGATTTAATACTCTGCTTTCAGGTGAAACTTTATAGAAACAATAAGAATTAAAACAAACTTACTAAAAGAAAAAGGAGAAGATTGTGGCTGGTATTTCATGAGAAGATACTTTTTGCTTGATCCATGAGACTATCTTATTTAGATTGATTGAACTTTTCAGGAAGGCAAAGAACAGGCCCTGTACTTTGATGCGCATGTTCTTGACGCACAAAGGCGAAGACATGATGTAAGAGGCTGCCGCTGTAGGTTTCTTGTGCGGTATGATCACGATCAATCTGAGGTACACTACTAGCCATTTTATCTTTTATGTTAATTGATCCATAGCGAGCTTTGCAAGTATTATTTTACAAAAAATTATAATAGGTCCATTGATCTACCATAAGTCCATAACTTCCAAAAAAAAAAAAAAAAATAGAGGATAAAATATCAGGGGTATATTTCTATTTTCGGAAGATTGCCGGGGCTATTTGTGATTTGACAGAACTAAGAGTAATAATATTTAGTCGCAACTCACCATAAACATCACCTCAAACTAACTCTATATTCTGGTATCTCGTGTGACCCTACATTTTTTGTATCGACCGGGACCCACACCTTCGGTCTACCTTCCTCCTTAGGAAATCGTGCCCCTCCGGAAGATTTGCCGCCGACCAGAAACCGATTACAGACTGCATCAACTTCATGCTATGTCCGTGAATGTGAATTCACAAAAAGTCGTTATCGATGGCCAGAAAGTAGGGAATACATTGAAAGTCGAGGCTGCCGGCGGGCCCACACCCCAAAAGCAGCTCAAACCCGAGGAACGCATCGAAACTGGGCCCAAAGCGGCCACAGCACAAACTACTCCAACCAATGCCCCTGTAGCAAGTGAACCTAACAAACCTCCAATGGTTGAAATTGTCGATGCTGAGAATGAAACTCCCGTTGAAAATACAAATGTTTCACAGCCTGATGTCATGCATGTAACCGACACTGTAGTTCCCAATCCGACAATGCAGCAGGGATAGATAGGTAAGGAGTGTATAATTAATTTCCAACTGTTGTTGTGTTTTTCCCATTTATTGACAATAGAATATTTAAGATTCCTCCGTTTTAAGTTGACGGTAGGTCATAGGGCTTGTGAATGGATAGTACAAAACTAGAAACTAATGAAAAAAACCCCATCTTCTTCTGTTGTGTAAGATATTTGCGCTGTATCCGAAGATTTCTATCGAGCTTACTGCTGGCATAGGTACTACTGTACTGTGTAAGTCGACGATAGTGTTCGTGTGTGAAGTAGGAATTGATTTGATAAGTTAAATGTGTTAAACCCGAAGTAATATGTTGCCGATGAGCACAGGAAAAGGTGCTGATAAATGACGATGGCTGATGTTTTTCATGTTCATTTGAAGCTTTGACGCTTTGTGTGGAAGTGTTTGCTTACAGAACTCCTATACATACGAGCGACTGAGTTGCACGAGACGATTAGTCGCGTGACGCTAATATGCATATAGGGCCGGTCAATGATAATTTATTTCAACTTTTTGTACGTAGCCTTTTTGTTGACGCACGTGCGTCCTTAGCCTCTTTCTGTTTTCCCATGTGATTTTGTCCTTCAATTAAACCCCACGTCCCTCTGAATATTTGAATAAATTGCATTTTTTCTTATTTAAAATAAAAAAAAAATCATAACGGCTCTTTTTATATATATTAAAGAGAAATGCTACACTCTCGTTACAGAATCATTCCGTCAGGATTTGTAACCGTTAGATCATCATGTAACCGTCAATAATAGTTGATCTAACGGTTACAAACCCGATGGAATGGTTTCGTAACGAGATCGTAGAATCTCCCGATAACTATATTTTACCATATTCAATTCATATTATGTGCAATTCAATATTATATATGTGTGTGTGTATGTGTAATATTCATGCGATATAACTATATGTTTGTTTTAACCGTGTATATTTGTCTCAAAATTTATTATTATTATTTTTTTTACTGTAATCTTTCTACCCTCATTGAATAATTCAAACTCCACCATGTTCAAGACTAGGTGTGATGAGGTATGATGATCTGACAAACATTATGGGCCCAAATTGAACGTACGAACAATGAAAAAATATCATTGTAGGTAAGGATAGGGGCCATCCCCAATCCGAGCCACAAATGGGATTCAAATAAATATCCCAACTTCTTTGGTTGTTTTTGTTTCAGCATTTCAGATGACCTGGCCACGTTTAAAGGAAAATTTGAAGCACTGGAAATAGAAATTTTAATAGTCATAAATATTTTATTTCGCTTAATTATTATGATTTAAATTACAATATTAATAGAAATATGTTATTTTATTGTATAAGTATAACAACTCAAAATTTCTTATGCTGTTTTCATAGGGACTAGTATGAGTCCCGTGCTATGCACGGTAAGAGATATTAACTAATATTTATAAAATAAATTTCTTATTAAGTAATATTAATAAATTAAAAATATAGAATTAATATGTAATACAATTATGTTTAAAATGTTATGTAAAATTTAAATTGTACAAAATTACATAGAAATGTCTATTTAAAATTAGTACACAACCCGTGTGGTGCAGATAATGATAATAAATTATATTATATTCATTTCAAAATAAGTATCATTTCAAAATTTTTGTTCAGAAATTCGATTTGGTTATATGATTCCATAAAATAGTTTTTTTGGTAAATAGTTATCATATATTTAACAACCTATGTACATAATAAGTAAAAATATAAAATGTATATCGTTTCATTACTTAAAATAATCTATTTTTATATAAACTATTCAAATAAAAAAAAAAGGTTGAGTAATATATTAAACTATAAAAAATTGATTATTCCGTTTACGTCTAAGTTAATATTGACTCGTAAGTTAATGAATACTTTATTAAATTATAAATAATTGACTATTTCGTTTACATCCAAATTAATATTGACCCACAAATCATGAATAATTATTTTTTTATTTTTTATTTTTTATTTTTAAATAAAAATCTTTTTATTTTTCTTCAATATATTATATACCAAATTTAAACCATGCAACTAATAAAGGTAATAGCTGCAAGTTTTGTCAATATATTATATTTCAAATTAAAATCATGCAACTAATAAAGGTAATAGCCGTAATATTTGGCCAAAATGATTATGTACATTAACTGCATTAATTATGCGGGATTTTTCAAATGTTGGCAAAAAATATTACTCAATATAGTAAACACTTTAGGTGAAAAATTAATTATTATTTTTTTTTTTTGTTGATTTTTAGTTGCTATTTTCAAGTAAATACCATTGCTTTTTTATATATTAATAGATAGATAATAAAAATTTAATTCGTTAATACACCATAAAATAATCATTTTAAAGTATTTCTCATAAATTTTTGATAAAATTACATAAAATAAATTTTAAGAAATACTTATAAAATATTATTTATCAATTTAAATATAATACTTTATTTATCAGTTTTTTCATAAATTTAATTTTTTTATAAATACTAACATATTTAATTTTTATTGTACAAATATTAACATATTTAATTTTTCATAAATTTATATTAGCGTTATAAAAATAACATAATCATTTTGTTCTAAAATGATATAATTGTGGTTAATATGTATATTTAAATATTAGTTTACACTACATATTATTATTCTAAGTTTTGATAAAGATGGGACAGTTAAGATAAGAAAGTTACCTAAAGATAAAAAAGTTAAGATAAAGATGAATCTTTTATAAAAATCCTTGGATTTAAAATTTTCACACAAAAATTTCAAATTTGTTTGGGCGGAATTTTTGAAAAATTCCAAAATAATTTACTATGTTTAGTAATATATTTAGGCGGGACTTTAGATAATTTTTTAGTTACTATTTTTGAATTATTTAGGTTGCCTCTTTATATAATAATAGATTATATTACTAACACATAGCATAAAATGAATTGAGCTCAACTCGATAAGTTTTAATCTGCTTTCGTCGCTGTTGATATCCGAACTGGACGATGCATTGTCTAAGCACGCGTTCCACCACGAAAAGTAGAATGATTCGATTGTAGGAGCAGCCAAATCTAAGGACATCTATGAACCGACCTGACACAACGTAAGAGGTCTGGACAAAACAGAAGAAATCGTGTGTTGATCAACATACTCACCAAACCTGAAGATTCGACAACTTCAGGTGGAACTCAGTTGTACCATTAAATAAAGTTATAAATGAAGACATGACGCTAATAGGACAACTCATCAGTTGCGAAGCTGAACAGAGATTGAAATGTTGTCATGTAGCCAACCCTAGTCAATCAAGTGTCGTAAGACGATGCAATTGACTACTCACGAGACGTTTATCCACCCATTTGTCGAGCCACATGTCACTTGAAAAAAGTCATTCTGCATATGCAGACTAACCCCTAACCTAATTTAGAACCTAATGTGTCATTGTAATTTACTATAAAACAACACCAAATTCTTATCGAGGGACTTGGGAGCCATGATAAGCCAAAAACACTTTACTTCCAGTTAACTAATAACAATAGGGTTGGTCAAGGTGAAGCATATTTTCCGTGAGGCGAGTTTTGCAGCCGATCATTTGGCTTCCTTCGCAACGGATGGGTATTGGGGTATCACTTATTTAACGTTCCACCAGACGGGGTGTGGTCGTGGCTAGAACACGATCTCATTGGTGTTACCTACTCACAGAACGTGTGTAATTTGATCTCTTAAGGTCTTAGCCTCTTTCATTGTACCAAACAAACTAATAACAATAAAAAAAAGATATATATATATATATATATATATATATTGTCTTATTTTTACTTTTATATACTATTTAAATTATTCATTTTTGTTGAATTTTTTGTTTTGTTTGACCTTCCTTACAAAAAAAAAGCTTCTACATAGTACATAGAGACAAAGTGACAAACAGCAAACCGCCATCTAAAACCAACCACACCATTTATATTACTTTTCACTCAAATCAATCACACACACAACCATCATTATTCCTTCACTCACTCTCTCACCCTCTGTTTTCCCCTTCTTCACCTTTTTTTTTTACTACTCAAATTATCCGGGATTGGATTGGGTTCTACTGATTATAGAATTTTTAATAAATTTATCTTGTGACAAAATGAAGATGAATAAAAATATATATATAGAAAATGTTATATAACAAGTAAAACAAAATTGGGATTGTGTACGAATATAGAATAGAATAATATTTTAATTGATATGAAATATAATTAGTAAATATATTAATTGAGATGATTGATAGGTAGAAGTATGTGAGTGTTTTAATAATAATAATATTATTATTTAATTGTGTTAGTGAAAATTTATTTTAAAATTCTATATTCAGTAGAACTGTAGAAAAAATTGAGATAATTTTTTTATTAGTATTAAGATTTTCTTCAGATATATTTTCTAGGCTCTCCAACGGGCTTAGAAAATCTTGGCCCAACCCTTTTGCGGGGCGGGCGGGCAGGCAGCTCGCGGGTCGCGGGCTATTTTGACAGCTCATGATAGATCGCCTATATCAGTCTCATTTGTTTTAGAAATAAAAAGATTGCATTCCCAATTACCCATCCCATCAAACAGTAAAATTCACAAAATTTATACCACATCTGCATGAAGGAATTTACCCTTTCTGAGGGAGTGGAGCCCCACTTAAATTCTTGCAGTTCACAAAATCAAACTCCCGCAAGCAACCAATCGAATGATTCAAATGTACTGCGGTGAATTTTTTTTAGTCAGTCATCGTATCTCGAACTATGCTCCGATTAATTAGTTGGTCAACCCGGGTCGCATACTTGGCAATGGTGGGTGGGTGAGTCTCCCAACAAGAGTTTTCTGCATTCACATGAATCGAACCCGAGACTTTGCTTAAGCGACGTCAAGCTGCTTACCACTTGAGTCAACTGCTGTGAATTTAAACCTCAAGAGTGTTTTTATTTTACCTTCCATTCCATCCCATCCCATCCACCACATGAAATGAAACTCTCCAAATCCTTCCTCAACCGTAACGGCGGAGCTGCCTCCTTCTTCTTCCTCCGCCGCCGCCGCTCCAAAACCGGCGGCCCATCCACCGCCGACAACCCGGAACCGTCATCCCCCAAAGTAACCTGCATAGGGCAGGTGAGGGTGAAATCGAAGAGGAGAGGGAGGCAGCACCGCCGCAGCCTCTCTCAGCGGCGGACGGGGGAGGCGAGCTTCCGGAGGGCGGAGCAGCTGCAGGAAGAGCGCAAGAACCAGAGGTGGGTCCACCTGCCGGCGTCCGCCCTGCGCGCCTTCGGGTCCGAGTTCACCTGCTTGTTGTTCCCCTGCTGTTGCAGCCATTGTCGAATCACCAAGAGCGGATGCTGCTATTGTTGTTCTAATGATGGTAATGAGTGTGGGCAAGAAAATGGGGCGGTTTGGGGGAGATGCCCGGTGTGCTGCGGTGGGCGGCGGAGGGAAACTGAGGCGGTGTCCGGCGGCAGAGACGAGGCGGAGGCGGAGGAGGAGAGTGAGAGTGTGTGTGTGTGGAATTGCAGGAGGCGGCACGTATTTGATAATATTGAGGTTAGGAATGGAAGAATTGAGGTTAGAGGGCGGAGTTTGGAGGTTGAAGATGAAGAAGGAAAAGAAGAAACGGGGAGAGTCAGCATTTGTATACCTCCGAAGAATGCGCTTTTGCTTATGAGGTGTAGATCTGATCCCACCAAAATGGCTGCTCTTGCTAATAGATACTGTAGTTGGGAGCATACAAATCAGGGGGATATTCAAGAAGAAGACAAAGATGATGATCATGGAAAACCAGGAAATTTGGTGTTAGAGAAATTACCAGAAAGTGTGTTTGAAGGTGAAATGGGAGGTGTTGAGCAAGAGATCCAAAATGAGTTGAAGCTTCAGTTGGAAAATGATTCTGAAGAGAATCTTGTAGTGGATAATAGTGGGGAACAAGAAGATGAAATTAAGGCCAAAGATGACGAAGAAGAAGAAGAAGAGGTTGAGTCCAATATGTCCTCATTTGAAGCTCTGTTAGACCAAGAAAACTTGGATTGCAACTACCAAGAAAATGTAGAAGAAGACGAAGAAGAAGAAGAGAAAAAGACAGAGGAAACGAGTCTTGAAGAAGATGATGAAAAACAAGAACCAATCGGAACACCGAAAGATCAACCACTCGTAAACAGCGAGCAATTCGAAAACAGCAAGGAACATGAAGAACATGAAGAAGAAGAAAAAGAAGAAGAAGAGAGGAAGCAAGTGCTGCCCGATTGCCTGCTGCTGATGATGTGCGAGCCCAAGCTATCAATGGAGGTCTCCAAGGAGACCTGGGTTCGGGGCGCCGACTTCATCAGATGGCTACCTGAGCGGCCGCGCAGGCCCGCTAGAGCCGCCGGCGGCGCCTGCGAGCACCATCAGGTCGGGGGAAGGCTTCCTCCCGCCGCCGACCCGAGGACGAAAAGGCCGGTTCCTGTCCCGGCTCCGTCCTTCAGGAAGAGCGAAGTCCACCGCCATCAGCCGCCGCGGTCGTCGTGTTCGCTCCCGGCGGCGGCAGCACCGATGGCCCCCGGTAGGGCGGGACCTTTCTCGCTGACGAGGTGCAAATCGGAGCCGATGAGTACAGCGGCCGCCAAGCTGGCGCCAGAACCGTGCGTGTGGGGAGACCGCGGCGGCGGCGGCGGCGTGAAGCTGGAGCCGCACGGGCGGGCCGCCGTCGGCGGGGCTGGAGTCGGGTTCTGAGGTGGGACCCGTGCACAGTAGTTTTGTTCCCGAGCTATGTTTATTTTACCTTCGCTGTGAATATCCATTTTACCAGTGTTTTCCTTGTTTTTTTTTTTTACTTTTCAATTTTTACTAGCATATTTTGGTTTGATTTTAATTTTTACCAATTCACTTTGTTTTTTAAGAGAATTATGATGATTTGTGAGGCCCTCGTCTTTTGTTTGTATCGGTTGTTTGTTTGTACCTTGTGTTCCTTTTTCAGTACATATAAAGTTCTCTCAGTGTCCAATCTGCAGCATATTTACAATTTTGTATGAGATATATAGTAACGTGAATTTATTTATAACAAACTATTCTTTTACAACATTTGAAATTTTATTTACAATAAGAGCTAAATTTTAATTTGAATAATAAATTGAATATATGGTTTCTCCTCATTACCTCATTAATTAAATAATTACTGCCTTAATTTCTTATAGTCCATGATATGGAGACATGCCTTGGACAAGAGTTGAATAAACTATGTAATTTAATACTTTCAGTGAATTATATTTAAATCATTTATGAAATTTTGTCTTATTATGGGAAATGCTACGTTCCGGTTATGGTACCATCTCTTCAAGTGTTTTAATCGTTCGATCATCTATCTTATTTAACTACGCGTAGATCCACCGGTTAAAAGACCCGACGGGATGATACCGTTCCCTTATCATAAACCAATAATTCAGAATTGATTGCCCTGATTTAACTGTCACTGGGGACCTATATTATATGATTTAAATTTGTGGTACCTTTTGAAATTGAGTATATTTTTCAACCTAAAAAGCGGGAAAACAGTCCTCCAGTGGAGAAACATAGTCCAAGACTCCAAGTTTTAGTATATATTTATATTATATATACTGCATGAATTGTATGCACGTGACAGCTAAGAATATCAAGGTTCAATCACCTGTCATTTTCTTTTTATATAATGGTTAAATTGCAATAGTCAATGTTTTAAATACTTTTACGTTCAAGCGGGTAACATAGTATCAAGGTAACAATTTTAAATATCATTTTGTCAAATATTGATTTGTACCGATTTCATATTGGAATGTAATGACATTTATTTATTTATTTATTTTAACTTTTTGTTGTTTTACATAAATTGAAAGTTCTACGATTAATTTTAATATGTTTATCAATTCAGTATTAAATAAAGCCGGTTTCATCTATTAATTATACCATATGAATAATTGTACTATCATAAGAAGATGTTACGGTTTCGTTACGGAACCATTCCGTCAGGGTTTGTATCCGTTAAATCAATTATCTCTGACAATTACATGTTGATCTAACGGGACCTTAGTATATGAATAATTGTATGTTATATTTGAACTCCATCAAGATCACCTTTTGATCCACTTTTTGAGCCATTATAGAGGCAATCATTTTCATCTTACATATCTTCTAGTATGCACCTTATTATTAGTTCTACACTATACATATATGAGCCCACAATTATGTGACTGTGATGTACAATATATAGTTACCTACTCCTTGTAAGTATACTTTATCTATGGAGTTGTACAAAATGAAAGGTCTCATTTTTAGTATATACAATATAATCAAGATTCAAAAGGACATCACAATCTCCCTGTGTGTTCACTTGTATTCTTCATTTTTATGCTCTACTGTTTTATCCGAAGTTTGCTCCTCACCTGATTCGGTGGTATCGGAATTGTTCATGTCTTTCATGCGCGATGTGTTTAGTGGCACCTTAACTTCACGACCACTAGGGCCTTCTTCAACAAGGGAGTTGGGGGCAAGCTGACCCGAATATAGGAATAACCCGAGAGAGTTGAAGCCGAACACAAATGTAGCAAGATAGCACAACCCGTTTATGATTGTCCTGTGTTAAGTTCATATAAAACAGTAAAAGCTTCGTAAAAAAGTCTAATATATACAAATATACGGAAAGGTGAAAAAAAAAATTGCATAGGAACACCCGGATTACCTTATGGTTATCGTGATCTGGCGGACCTGAAAAACAATAAAAAAAAATTATATTAAAAATGTTAGTGTAGTCTGTCGCGACATTCACTCACAAGTATATATGTATGGTATATATTAGTGAATCGCATTAGTTGTTACCAATTAAAGCTAATATAACATACAACTTTCACACGATTCATGATCAGTAGAAAAAAATTAAACTCAAATTGGAAAACAGACCGAGTAGTTATTCGAAAGCTTTTGGTTGTTGAGACTGAACTCGATAGTTGTGGTGAACTTGTAAAGAAGCACTCCAAACATAGCAGCTATTACTGCTCCAAGAAGTGCCTCATCAGGTGAGGGCAGGGCCTTCGTTTTTTTACCCGATGGCTTCGATGTCATATTCAAATTCTCGTTTGCCCCCGTTGCCCTAAATCTCTGTTTCAACACAAGATTTAAAGTTTTTGACAGAATCAACATAACAAACGACTGATGGAAGAGAAAGAAGCACACATTTCTCTTCACATTGACATTTTGTTTTAATGACTATCGGAAGAAAATGTTACTGAGCTAGCACTTCAATTCAACAAGCGGGCGCACGTCATTTCCATTTCGTCTAACAAGTATCTTAAATCCACACCGTGTGTACAGAAGTAAAACTAATTGTGCCGTTAATGCTTTCAATCCGTGATAGCTTGACAGATATGACGAAACTCAATTGGAATCAGAAAATGAGCTATTTGGAGAAGCACTGCTACATTTTCAACTTTGATTCGAAAATACCACCATCCATCTTTCTCTCGTCCGGAAAACTACCACATTCGTCAACAGTTTACAGAATGTGACCCGAATGCCCCTTCAATCGACTTCTACCCTTTATCGTCGACTGTGTATAGAACAATTGTGCAGTCACATTTGTATTGGCTTCGACCTATTTCCGACATGTTGAACTAATGTGATTCTATAATTCTATTGGTCTTATTCAAACTAATTCACATCACTACCCAAAAAAAAATAAAAAATAAAAAAAAAACAAAACAAAACAATGCGTGAAAACATAAACACATAACATACACAGTCACAGAATATAATGAGATATTAATAACAATAAGAGATACCATTTGCTTGGCATGCTTGGCCCGGCGGCGGAGGGAGCGGAATAGAAAGAGAGCGAGGGCGCCGGTGAGGAGGACGCTGGCGGCGGTTTGGAGAGCTCCCGAGTCATCGGCGGCAAGAAGAGAGGAAATCGACGGACGGAGCCCTATGGGTCCCACCGCCGGCTGGGCGGCGGCGAGATGATCGGAGAGGTGGGCCAGCCAGGGCGATGATTTGTGGGCAGAGCAACAGAGCGAATGCGGAGTATTATGATTGTGATTATAATTATTGGGTGCGTAGGGAAAATAAAGAGAGTGGGTGAACGGTAATGGGGAAAGCGCGGGAAAGAGGAAGGCGCCGGAGGGGAGACGGCGGAAGGGCTGCTGGTGAGTTTGCATCACTTTTCTGCTACAGACTGAAACAATTACTCTGAGAGAGAGAAAGATGCAGAATGTCCAATGTTTTTCTCGATAAATATCTGGTTCTTAAGATAATATATTATTGTAAGAAAAATGAATTAGATATTTTGGGACCGGAAAAGACAAAAGAAATCGTCGAATCGGGTCGCACACCTGGCATTAGTCGACATATATTTTGACATACTATGAATGTGACAATATTTTGTAATTTTACATGTAACATTAAAATCGATTTCGTGCTAGAGTTGGATCGTCTAAATAAAATTTAACACCTCTGGTCTAGGCCGAACTAGTTAGGATATAGTACTTCATCAGATGAGCTCATCTTCTATCTCCTTCCCCTTTGTCCTGCTCCACCATTAGATCTACATGTGGTTTGTCAACATTTTGATTAAAAATGTAAACAAGAGAGGAGTGTGCTAGCTGAAAGTAATCATCGATAAAGCCTTGCATGATACCTTCCCGATTTGGTGACTACTCCGAAGTAATCATCGATGCATTTTGGTTAAAACCGCACTCTTCAGACAACAAAATGAACAACACAAAATTTTTGCGGTTTTTCAAAATTGTAACCGCGTTGCAAACCAAACCCTTGAAGAACCGAATTGCACGGCACCAAATACATCAGTTCGACTCAATTTATCAGTTATGGCTATTGGTATTGCTCACCCCTACTATGAACAAGTTAGCGAGCAAATCAGGTCGTGTGAATCGAACAAAAGTCTATTATACACCACTATGAAAGTGGAACACCGAACACATACACATCCACATACGAGAAATCGATCTTTTTTTCTTTAATCGAACTTAACATAAAATCTTTACAAAACTAATTTTGTTTTATACACTAAATTGTTGACAATGATGTGAGTAAATCAAAAAATACCGTGACAATTTTAAATTTCCATCAAATATTTAAACATGTTTCTGGATTTCCAAGTGAAACGAAACCTGGTTCCATTTTGAGGAACAACTGCAATTCACGTGTTAGTTTGTTGCAACAAAATGCTGGTGATTGGCAAGGTAAAAAACAGCCCAAGTACAACATCCAACCAATAAAGATTGCCTCATGAAAATGGGGCCTATTTTCAGTTGAAATATTTCTAACTTATTGTTAAAACATGCCTAATCCATGCTCGTTTTGCCTTGGTGTTGACATGTTGTAGCCCCTATCTAGGGAAAGGCCAAGGTCCGTTATTGAACCATTTTGTCGGGGTTTGTAACCGTTAGATCTTCATGTAACTGTCAAAAATAGTTGATCTAACAATTATAAACTCCGACAGAATAATTCTGTAACGACCGTAGTTCTTCCAACAATAGATATCCAAGTTATACAATAACTTGTCCGCATTCAACAATCACCACATTAAAATTGGCCAACCATTACTGCATTAACCTTTACTGTTATAATGTCAGTGAATCATCGTTTTCCACACAACAGAAAGAAAGATATATTTCAATTTGAATTAGGATCCTATATGCCTAAACCCAATCACTTATATAAACCAAATTAAGAAATTTTTAATAATTCACTTATTTATCCTCTCATTTATTTATTTTTACTTTATTTAATTACGGCGGTCAAGCCGGCCATCAGCACTCCTGGCGCACGTTAGATGCCACCGCCCTGGCCCAGAACTTGATCTGCGCCTTCACATCCTCCGTCGAACGCTTCCCGCCCCACATCACCGGCGGCGCAGAGCGGCTCTGTGCGCTCCAAGCCTCTGCAGAAATCGGTCTCCGAGCTCTAGTGCTTTTCCCTTCATCCTCTTGGATATCCTTCTTGTCCCGCAAGCCTGAAATCACGGCCAGCTCCTCGTCGTCGAATTCGAATCCCAGATCTTTAAACCCTTGAAATTCTTCGGACTCCAGCTCGATGGAGCTTCTCTGCTTTCTGAGTTGGTTCGTCGGACGTTGAGGCCTGGTTAGCTCCTCCGAGCCCTTGATTTTATGCCTTGTTATGCTGGGACTTGGCGTTAATCTCTGAAAAAAAAAAGAGTAAATATTTGGGAGGAAAAAATGGGGAAAAAGTGAAGTCTTAGCCGAATTGTTGACTTTTGTTTTTTCCACTGGCCACCAGGTGTTTGATAAAATGCGTAATAGGGGTTTATACCTTAGTAGAATGTGCCCTGGGAGGCAGAGTGTCCGAATAGTTCATAGAAGCTTGTCTGATCAGTTTTCCCATGGAGAACTCAATCTCGTCATCTTCGAACTCCTCTGGCTCGAGGCTAGTAGGCAGGGATGGAGCCCGGTTCAAACATCTCGACGATTTTTTGTTTTTGTTTGATCTTTTGCTCCTCCGAGGATCAATTTTCTGATCCTGTGCCTTGATCAAACTCCGCCTTTCCGTTTTGCGGTCGCAAATGGACAACTTCTCGATCGAACGGTAGGTCTCCTCGTACGATTTCCCTGGCGAATTCTCATCATGGGCGTAGTTTGATGATGTGCAGGGCTCGGAAAGGCTTCTGAGCATTCTTGATTTTCTGTGAAGCAAGTTGTCGAAAAACCAGCAATCTTCGAATAGCTCGCCCGGCTCGACTCGCTCGGCATCGTCTCTCGACTCGTGGTGAGTGTTGTTTTGATCCATGATTGAATGTGATTTTTGGTCTGGTTTTCTTTCTGTTTGGTTTGTCACACTAGATGAATGAATTGAGATTGTTGGTGGCTTATATTTATATGGTGTGTGGTGTCTTTTCATCTAGCGATGGATATGAAAGAATTGCCGAAAAAGAAGAGGAAAAAGGGAGAAAAAAAAATATATTATGGTATTATGTTGAAAAGCTGTCAAATTGTGTGATTGGGGAGGCCATGTGGGGCTGAGATGTCATGTGCTCTAAAATTTGCTGTATATTTATTTATTGAGTAAACATTACATTGAAGATGTTAGACATAGAATTGCAGCCGGTTGGTTGAAATAGCGTCAAGTTTTATGCGTTCTCTGTGATAAGAGGGTGCCACAAAGGCTAAAAGGTAAGTTCTATAAGACGGCGATTTTCCCGGCAATGCTATACGGTGCTGAATGTTGGCCTACAAAAAAACAACATGTCCAACAACTAAGTGTAGCAGAGATGCGGATGTTGCATTGGTTTTGCGGGCACACAAGAAGGGATAAAATCCGGAATGAGAATATTCGAGATAGGGTCGGGGTGACTTCAATTGAGGAGAAATTTGTTCAACATCGGCTGAGATGGTTGGGCCTCCTGATGCACCGGTGCGTAGGGGTTCTACAGCGGGCCAATGATGTTAAGAGAAGTAGATGTTGGCCTAAACTCACTTGGGAAGAGTCGGTCTAGAGAGACCTTAAAAATTAAAATATCTCTAAGGATTTAGCGGTGGATAGGAGTGCTTGGAGGCTAGCGATCAACGTGCCGGAACTGGACTTTTGCTCCTTTCTCTTTTGCTCCAATCTCTTTCTTTTGTTTTGTTTTTGTTTTGTTTTGTTTTGGTTTTTTTTTTTTTTTTTTTTTTNNNTTTTTTCTATTACCACTGTTTCTCTTGGGTTTTATCTCTAGTCTACTCCAACTTGTTTGGGACTAAAAAACTTTTGTTGATGTTTGGGATATATACGTTATTTTGGGAAAAACTTTATTACATTTCATAGTGCAAATAGGATTTTTTTTTCGAGTTTTATTAGGGAAAAACTTATTACATTTCATAGTGCAAATAGGATTTTTTTTCCGAGTTTTTTTAGGGAAAAACTTATTACATTTTATAGTACAAATAGGATTTTTTTTTCGAGTTTTTTTAGGGTGTTTGGGATAATATTCATTATTTTGGGAAAAAATTATCACAATGCATAGTGCAAATAGGATTTCTTGAGCTTTTTTTAGGGTGTTTGGAAATATATTATTTTAGTAAAAATTTATTTGAATAGCTAAATTGAGTTAAAGTTTAGAAAAAAAAAAATTACATTGGCAAGAAAATAAAATATTTTTGTGGATTATAAATTGATATAATATACAATATAATTCTAAAGTTGACGTAATAGAAAATAGTGAAATAAATCAAATAATGAATATAATTTGCTTGATTGTTAAACTTTGTTGCAAATGTGCCGTAATGATTTGTTTTATTGTTTAATTGTATTAATAAAACTAATAATAAAAAAATGGAATTGGATGAACATTTTTTTTTAAAAAAAAAAAAACTTTTTTTTTTGAAAAAAAAAAATCTAATTGAAGTTTCAATGAATAAATTATACAAACAAAAAATAATTTATTCCAAATAATTTATTATTTTCCTTTTAAATGTTTTTATACCGGGCAGGCATCGCTGTCATTTGGGTGTGTGTTGAAGTAAATTATAGTGTATTTTGTTAATTATGGTGCTGTCGTGCGGGGGCAATATTGAGTTAATTATGGCGGAATGGTGAAAATTAGCATGTTAATTATGAGAGGCAGATGAATTACATACACGAACAAGCAATTGCAATTACTATGGTGTAAGTTGAGCAGTTAGTTGAGCATCCAGACCCGTCCTCGGACTCTATGGTCGTGCCACGTGGTAACCTGTGAGCTGCTATGGGTCCATCGGGCTTGGACTTGTGAGTGTGAACATGATAAATATTATGAGTATGAGGTGTTTCAATCATTGACCTTGAATCCAACCGGCTCGCTGATCACGGGTCTTAAACCGGCCTGTGATTTTATTGGAGTCGGTTTCGGTTCAATTATGTAGTAGTACAAAATTTAAACCGACTGTTTTGGTTTGGAATTGAAATCGTAACCGGCGGTTCATTTTTTTTATTATTATTTTTAAATGATTTTTTTAATAAACTTGGTCGGTTTAGAATCGCCGGTTCATCAAATAGCATGTGTATATGATCGGGCTAATTTAGGGCCTCTAAAACCGCGGCTCAGGACAGGTTTTGTCCATATCTAGGTATTATGTTAGATCGATCTAGTTAGGGGCGAAACCATGTATAGCATTGGAGAGGCGCCGGCCCCTCCAAAAAAAAAGAAAAAAATTAAATTAGAGGGGGAAGATTTTGCTGGAACTGGAAAATTTTTCTTTGAGCGCACATGTTGGGCCCTCCCCGATTTCATGCGGTACATACATGGCCGGAAAGGCGCCACCGGTTTTGTCGTAAAATTTTTTTTAAAGGCAAATTGGGCCCTCCTCGAAACGGGATCCTAGTTTCGGGACAAGGAGAACTATAATAGCAGCAGAATTTAATAATTTTTTCATTTTTATTATTTTTTGAGTTGGTTAATTAGCTGACTTGCGGTATCGACGGGACTCAAAAACCGAGTCGATCATTACCGAAAAAAAACTTTTATGAAAGTACGGGAAGCGAAGAGTGCGTTCGTGGCATCGATTTATGATTTTGAGGTCCCGACCATTTATTTTGGGTAGCCCAAAGTTGAGAGAAAAATAGCAGTGGCGGTGATTTTATTGTCATTTTCATGTCTAGACTTCGGGTAACCGTCGGCCCTCGTTAAGCGTGCTGAAAATTAGCGGGAGTGCTTTCTTGAAAGCACGAGAACAATAGAAGTCGTTCGTAAAATTTATTTCACGTTTCGAAGTTTCGAGCATTTATTTTGAGAAGCTCGAAGTCGAGTGCGCATAATATAAGAATAAAAAGTCATTTTGCGGGGTTCCGTAAGGTTGCGTGTGACCTCGGTTTAACGAGAATCGAGTTGGAGCGTGTAGACAATTCAAGCACGATTCCATACTGACAAATTTCACATTTTTCGGACTTCCGAACATTTATTAAGGGAGTTTGAATTTCTGAGTTAAATAGTATCAAAAGGAGCAAATTTGTCGATGACGAGTTCGATCGTTTGAGGCTTCGTTTTCTCAATTTTTTCAGCTTTTCGTCTATTTGAAAGGAGGTATAATTCTTGATTATTATTATAATTGAGTCCGAGATTTTTATTAGTATAAATTCGAGTATTTTTCGAGTTAAAACAATTCAGTTTAAGTATACCAATTTAATTCCGGAATTGATTAGCGACTTGATTATGTAAAGGACGTGCTAGAAAAATATCTTCAAGGGTAGTTTACCTACCTTTTAAATTTTTTCTTTGATAGGCTAATGATTGATTGTGTGTTGAAATTCGTGATTCAAATAAAATTGTTTAATTGATGTAATGTGCATCTGAATGTAATATTATCTGAGATATTAACAAAGTAAAGTAATATATCATTGATAAAATATAGTATGAATTTATTATGCATGACCTGATGTGTTATTTACTGAAAATTATAATCGTAACTAGTCTAAACCTAATTCTGATTAATGTGAAAGATCAGTTTGGAGCACAGATATAATAATATGTTACTAACTGAGATTTGAGGGTCAGAAGATTATAAATGATTGGATATAAGATTTTTTAGTTTTGTTTTGTTTTTTTGGGATTGGATTTAATTTTTTTTTTTTTTAAAAAAAAAAACCATCATGTCCAAATTAGAGGTGGTCAATTCCCGGGCCGGCAGGCCTCAATATCATGGCGGCCCTGAACCGTCGGTTCACCGATTCAGCGGGTTTCGGGCGGTTCCGGGCCGGTACGACCCTTAAAAAAAACACCATGGACTGAATTGCGACCTGCGGCTCGACCCGTAGCGGACGGGCGGGCCCAAAAAAAAATAATCGAGACCGAACCGCGACCCTAAGTGTCCAATTCAGGGCCGGGCCCGTGAACATGTCTAGTCCAAATATAGAATAAAAAAGTGATAAAAGTCAATGTTATAAAAATGAGATGCTGTTTAAACTATGATTAGATATAAACTAAAAATGTAATTATTAGATTGATGTGATATAAAAAAAAAAAATATTGAACAGAATATGTGGCCAATAAATAATCTTCAAATAATCTTATTTTATGAATATTGTAGAATATTATTACACTTTTCTTAATTGTATTTAGTGGGATTTATAAAGAAAAAATTAGGTAAATTAATTGTGCATTACCTTTAAATTTTAACTTTATTTATAATTTCAATCAGATAAATCTTGAATTATAAAAAAAAAAAAAAAAAAAAAAAATATTGAATCCCAACCTACATATTTTGGGAGAGAGTTGAGCGGTGTGTGCAATTAATTTTAGTAACAACCAAGGATTATGGGGAAGCATTATAATAACTGCTATAAATATTTATTCCAGCATAGAGACCCATGTGCCGGTCCCCTACTTCGTTGAATTTTCTAAACGAAAAACGAGAAATGCTATGGTCTCGTTGTGAAATCATTTTGTCGGGTATGTTATTGTTAGATTATCATGTAATCGTCAGAGATAGTTGATTTAACGGTTACAAACATTAACTGAATGGTTTCGTAACGGGATCATAGCTGCGTAGCATCTTCCCGAAATAACATAAGAATATTAATTGATTAATTAATTAATTAATTTACTGTATACCTATTAATTGAAGCTGGATAATTTACACTCAATTATGAGATTCTTCTTGTTTTGCTCAGGTTGATTTTTCTTATTTGAAAACATTTTAGTTGACTAATTTGGACAAAATTGACATATATCTATCCCTATTACATTTTTAATAAGCTTATCTATAATTCTGCCAAAAAAAACCTACCTGAAAACTGGGGCTGTAATTGGATAAAGTTTTGTTTTATTTAATTTTTCT